ATATAGTATAGAATGGAGGCATTGTGTGCCTGGTATGAGTTGAAGTCTATTGGTGCGACAGTCAGTCGTACGGGAGGAGTGTTACGCCCTTTGTGCATAATTCAAGAAGGATCAATTGATTAGTGTGTAATTACAGATTTTTCACTTAGTATTATATTACTGGTACCTTTATTCGTAGCTAAAATAAAGACTCCTAGTTTTATAATATTATCTGGCCATGAATTATTGATTTATTTTGTAGGATGTTTTGTGTTTATATGTCAAATTGCCTTGTGGTCGTTTATGCTTCACAAACTCACTCATTCCTAGGTGACGTCAAGCTAGGGAGTTTTACTCATGGCAGTTCATTCTCTCCTCCGGTAGAGAAAGCACCAAGCCACGGAGCTCCCTTATTCTCTTGTTGCAAGCCTCAGGAGAACCTTTGAACCAGGATTCCTAGGTTTCAACCAAGGTTTGCTTGGATTACTTCAGTCTCGGAATACTTGACGGGTTGCGTCTGTGCAGTCAGCCATTTAAGTGAAGCAATACCCCATGTCTGAGTTCTCCAACTATTAAAGTCTCGTGATAGTCTCTAACCAGTTCTAGCTGTAGTGTATATGATTGACTGAGGAGGTGGTAAAGGCACCCTATCTAGTGATTCATTGATCTTGACTTTGATTATGAAATTACAGAGATTGTGTACATATGAATTTATAAGAAAAGGTATACCTAAATTTTATCAATTATTTAAATTACTAAGTGACTATAAGCTTAGTATTATACTGAATAAAACCAGATAAAGCATTATAGAACTTTTTTGCTTATATTTATATGTGTGTAAGAAGACCTAAGTGGATCTTCACCTGTTGTTACTAACGTGTTACTAACACTTACACACCAGGGTTTTTGATGTATTAGTATGCCTAAATTCAGCGCCCTCAAATCTAATGAGAGAAAGCGGGTAGGCCTACATATGAAAGAATGGGTCTATGTGGTCAGTGTGGGTGGCATAAAAAAAATCCTGCAGTACACTGCGTAATGAGAAAAAAAATCCTTTGACCGTGTTTTTGGATTAAAACAGCGACTTTGCACTGTATTTTTGTATGGTATTTATTGTTGTATTCTAGTTTTCCTGGTTTCACTTTATAGAATGGAAGACATATTACAGAAATTGAGATGATATTGACTGGTTTTACAATGAAAAGTACCTTGAAATTGAGCTCAAAGTAGCAGAAATGTTCGATTTTTACCAAAGTTCAAAAGTAAACAAATCATGCTCTGCATCCATTACACGTCAACTGGCGAGTCTAAAATTCTTTCACAAGTGCGCTGATATTATTTATATCATTTCTACACTAATGCAGTAGTCTGCATAACAGTAAATCTTCTATTTTTTGTGAGAGTAAAAATTCAAAGTGGAAAGCAAAAGAATGTAAGAGGGGCATGGGGACATGACTAATGAACAGAGGAAATGTTATATTAGTGCCAGGAATGTCTTTCTTGTTTATTCTGGACCCTATTCGGAAATTGGAATCTTTTGAAATTTGTGTGAAATTGGCAAAATTGATAAATTCTGACCACTGTATTGGATAGTTGAAATCGGTAAATGGGTGGTTTCTTGTACTCATTCGATAGAAAAAATGGAGTTCCAGCGAAATAGTTATGATTTTTGTCGACTAGTACACTGGAATTGGCCGAAAATAGGGCTCAAAGTGGGCAAAATCGTCAATGCGTAAACATCATCGAGACTGCTAACTTCGCGAGGGCATAATTCCGTAAGTTTTCCATCAAATTTCATACTTTTGGTGTCATTATGATCGGGAAAAGATTCTCTATCTTTTCATAAGAAATTTTTTTTTTTTTTTTTTAAATTTGGGCAACCCTGAGAACAAGTCTCCGAGAGGGCCTGTTGACCCTGAAAGGGTTAAATGTCAACGAAGAAAGGGAGGCGGTAATTTCATGCACTGGCCAGGGAGGTATACCATCTTGTAGGAGTGAAGAAGAGCAGGATGTGAGTGCTGGGGAGGTGTGTGAGGCATTGCGTAGAATGAAAGAGGGTAAAGCAGCTGGAACTGACTGGATCATGACAGAAATGTTAAAAGCAGGGGGTGGGGATATAGTTTTGGAGTGGTTGGTATTTTTGTTTAATAAATGTATGAAAGAAGGGAAGGTACCTAGGGATTGGCAGAGAGCATGTATAGTCCCTTTATATAAAGGGAAGGGAGACAAAAGAAATTGTAAAAATTATACAGGAATAAGTTTACTGAGTATACCAGGGAAAGTGCACGGTAGGGTTATTATTGAAAGAATTAGAGGCAAGACAGAATGTAGGACTGCGGATGAGCAAGGAGGTTTTAGAGTGGGTAGAGGATGTGTAGATCAAGTGTTTACATTGAAGCATATATGTGAACAGTATTTAGATAAAGGTAGGGAAGTTTTTACTGCATTTATGGATTTAGAAAAGGCATATTATATATTGGATAGGGGAGCATTGTGGCAGATGTTACAAGTACGTATATGGAATAGGTGGTAAGTTACTAAATGTTGTAAAGAGTTTTTATGAGGATAGTAAGGTTCAGGTTAGGGTGTGTAGAAGAGAGGGAGACTACTCCCTGGTAAAAGTAGATCTTAGACAGGGATGTGTAATGTCACCATGGTTGTTTAATATATTTATAGATGGGGTTATAAAAGAAGTAAATGCTAGGGTGTTCGAGAGAGGGATGGGATTAAATCATGGGGAATCAAATACAAAATGGGAATTGACACAATTACTTTTTGCTGATTATACTGTGCTTACGGGAGATTCTAAAGAAAAATTGCAATGGTTAGTGGACGAGTTCGGGAGTGTGTGTAAAGGTAGAAAGTCAAAAGTGAACATAGAAAAGAGTAAGGTGATGAGGGTATCAAATGATTTAGATAAAGAAAAAATGGATATCATATTGGGGAGGTGGAGTATGGAAGAAGTGAATGTTTTCAGATATTTGGGAGATGACGTATCAGCGGATGGATTTATGAAGAATGATGTTAATCATAAAATTGATAAAGGTAAAAAGGCGAGTGGCGCGTTTAGGTACATGTGGAGACAAAAAACGTTATCTATGGAGGCAAAGAAGGGAATGTATGAAAGTATAGTAGTACCAACACTCTTATATGGGTGTGAAGCTTGGGTTGTAAATGCTGCAGCGAGGAGGTGGTTCAAGGCAGTGGAGATGTCTTGTCTAAGGGCAATGTGCGGTGTGAATATAATGCAGAAAATTTGGAGTGTGGAAATTAGGAGAAGGTGTGGAGTTAATAAAAGTATTAGTCAGAGGGGTTGTTGAGGTGGTTTGGTCATTTAGAGAGAATGGATCAAAGTAGAATGACATGAAGAGCATATAAATCTGTAGGGGAAGGAAGGCCAGGTAGGGGTTGTCCTCGAAAAGGTTGGAGGGAGCGGGTAAAGGAGGTTTTGTGGGCAAGGGGCTTGGACTTCCAGCAAGCGTGCATGAGCATGTTAGACAGGAGTGAATGGAGACAAATTGTATTTGGGACCTGACAAGCTGTTGGAGTGTGAGCAGGGTAATATTTAGTGAAGGGATTCAGGGAAACCGGTTATTTTTATATAGCCAGACTTGAGTCCTGGAAATGGGAAGTACAATGCCCGCACTTTAAAGGAGGGGTTTGGGATACTGGCAGTTTGGAGGGATATGTTGTGTATCTTTATACGTATATGCTTCTAAACTGTTGTATTCTGAGCACCTATGCAAAAACATTGATTATGTGTGAGTGAGGTGAAAGTGTTGAATGATGATGAAAGTATTTTCTTTTTGGGGATTTTCTTTCTTTTTGGGTCACCCTGCCTTGGTGGGAGACAGCTGACTTGTTGAAAAATAAAATATATATGCTTCAATGTAAACACTTGATCTACACATCCCCTACCCACTCTAAAACCTCCTTGCTCATCTGCAATCCTACTCTCTGTCTTACCTCTAATTCTTTCAACAATAATCCTACCGTACACTTTTCCTGGTATACTTGGTAAATATCAAAATGGTATACAATACCGACAGGTTGGTAGGTAAGACATATAGGCAACATTTAGGCAACTTTATTCTGAAACATTTCGCCTACACAGTAGGCTTCTTCAGTCGAGTACATAAAGCAGGCAGGAGCAGTAGAGATGTGAAGACGATGTAATCAGTCCATCACCCTTGAAGTCATAGATTTGAGGTTGTCAGTCCCTCAGCCTGGAGAAGTTCTGTTCCAAAGTCTGAAACTAACTGAAGATCAAGCGACAGTGTTGAGACTTAAATACTGTTGGAAGGAGAGGTGCAAAGTAGTAGTAGTAGTAGCAGTGAGAATGTAGACACTGAGAGGTCACGTCCCTCTCAGATCAAACAATTCTCACTTGAGAATCTGAGAGGGACGTGACCTCTCAGTGTCTACATTCTCACTACTACTACTACTACTCTGCAGCTCTCCTTCCAACAGTATTTAAGTCTCAACACTGTCGCTTGATCTTCAGTTAGTTCCAGACTTTGGAACAGATCTTCTCCAGGCTGAGGGACTGACAACCTCAAATCTACGACTTCAAGGGTGATGGACTGATTACATCATCTTCACATCTCTACTGCTCCTGCCTGCTTTCTGTACTCGACTGAAGAAGCCTACTGTGTAGGCGAAACGTTTCGGAATAAAGTTGCCTAAATGTTGCCTGTGTTTTACCTACCATACTTGGTAAACTTATTCCCCTATAATTTTTACAATCTCTTTTGTCCCCCTTCCCTTTATATAAAGGAACTATACATGCTCTCTATACATGCAATTCTATGTGATGCAAATATTGCCTTTACATTACAGGTAAAACATGTGATGATCTAGATATTAGCCATTAGTAAATTATTTTTGAATTCCTCCTACCACAAACAGATGAGTACTCAATACAGAATAAATTATATTATTTAAAACTGCTAAACTAATACAAAACTATGCTACAGTTTTTTAAGAATAAATAAATGTCCAAAAATTCTTGTGATTCTTACCTGTGTCCATTCATTAGTTTGAGGGTCATAAGCATGTACAAGATTTAGGTAAGTTTGGCCATCATAACCCCCAACACAAAACAAGCAATCACCCAGGAGACTCACTCCTGCACTATCACAGCCAATGCTTAAACAAGCTACTTGAGTCCAGGTGTCTGTTGCAGGATCATATCTGAAAAACAGCAATTTACTCTTGAGTTTATATGGGAGAAAAACAATGCTCTAAATTTAATTTTAAATCTTCATAAAAAAGATTTACCACCCTTTCAAGGATTCAAAATATCCCAATACTAACACTCCTATTCCTTTATAATTTTACCCATAAATATTAACATTTCAGATTACTTATTATCATTTTGCTATTTAACTTTATTTCACTAATAAGAGTATATGAAATGCTTACAAAATATGATTATCTGTTTATCCACCTTTTTCTTACTACTAACTTTTTCATACCTGTAGTCACTTTTTATGTCATGCAAGAATTCTGACAATTTATGCTATAATGCTTTAGTCTATAACTTCTCATTAAATTCCACAATAAAGACTCATTACTTCGTATCTGCAAATCTCATTATACAGTGGACCCACGGTTACTGTAATTAATCCGTTCCAGAGAGTGTGACTAAAGCTGAATTTGACAATATCCGAATTCATTTTCCCCATAAGAAATAATGTAAATCCAATTAATCCGTTCCAGACACCCAAAAGTATTAAGAAAAATTATTTTTTATAGATTAAATATAGATTTACATACAGAAAAGAATGAGAAATCGAGTATAAAACAATAATATCACACTTACCTTTGCTGAAGACTCTTATTGGTGTATGGAAGATGGGAGAGGGTTAGGGTGATGTTCCTCTACAAATGTTTGCACCTCACTCCACTTTGCACAAATGTCCTTAATCTTTGAAGAAGGCACCTTCTTCCCTCTCTCTTTCTCCTCCTCTGAAGTAATTTCCTCAGCTGGTGTACATAAGAACATAAGAAAGCAGGAACACTACAGCAGGCCTGTTGGTCCATACTAGGCAGGTCCTTCACAAACCATTCCACTTTTCAACCCAACCCAATTTTCAATGCTCCCCAAACAATAAGCTTTGATAGAGTGGATAAGGGAGCAATGTGGCAGATGTTGCAAGTATATGGAATATGAGGATAGTGAGGCTCAGGTTAGGGTGTGTAGAAGAGAGGGAGACTACTTCCTGGTAAAAGTAGGTCTTAGACAGGGATGTGTAATGTCACCATGGTTGTTTAATATATTTATAGATGGGGTTGTAAAAGAAGTAAATGCTAGGGTGTTCGGGAGAGGGGTGGGATTAAATTATGGGGAATCAAATACAAAATGGGAATTGACACAGTTGCTTTTTGCTGATGATACTGTGCTTATGGGAGATTCTAAAGAAAAATTGCAAAGGTTAGTGGACGAGTTTGGGAGTGTGTGTAAAGGTAGAAAGTTGAAAATGAACATAGAAAAGAGTAAGGTGATGAGGGTATCGAATGATTTAGATAAAGAAAAATTGGATATCAAATTGGGGAAGAGGAGTATGGAAGAAGTGAATGTTTTCAGATACTTGGAAGTTGACGTGTCGGCGGATGGATTTATGAAGGATGAGGTTAATCATAGAACTGATGAGGGAAAAAAGGTGAGTGGTGCATTGAGGTATATGTGGAGACAAAAAAACATTATCTATGGAGGCAAAGAAGGGAATGTATGAAAGTATAGTAGTACCAACACTCTTATATGGGTGTGAAGCTTGGGTTGTGAATGCAGCAGCAAGGAGGCGGTTGGAGGCAGTGGAGATGTCCTGTCTAAGGACAATGTGTGGTGTAAATATTATGCAGAAAATTTGGAGTGTGGAAATTAGGAGAAGGTGTGGAGTTAATAAAAGTATTAGTCAGAGGGCTGAAGAGGGGTTGTTGAGGTGGTTTGATCATTTAGAGAGAATGGATCAAAGTAGAATGACATGGAGAGCATTTGAATCTGTAGGGAAAGGAAGGCGCAGTAGGGGTCGTCCTCGAAAAGGTTGGAAGAAAGAGGTAAGGGAGGTTTTGTGGGCATGGGGCTTGGACTTCCAGCAGGCGTGCGTGAGTGTGTTCGATAGGAGTGAATGGAGACGAATGGTATTTGGGACCTGACGATCTGTTGGAGTGTGAGCAGGGTAATACTTAATGAAGGGATTCAGGGAAATAGATAGCAACCGGTTATTTTTATATTCCGGTTATTTTTATATCCGGGTATTTTTATATCCGGTTATTTTTATATCCGGTTATTTTTATATCCTGTTATTTTACATCTGGTTATTTTTATATCCGGTTATTTTTATATCCGGTTATTTTTATATCCGGTTATTTTTATATAGCCGGACTTGAGTCCTGAAAATGGGAAGTACAATGCCTGCACTCTAAAGGGGGGGTTCGGGATATTGACAGTTTGGAGGGATATGTTGTGTATCTTTATACGTATATGCTTCTAAGCTGTTGTGTTCTGAGCACCTCTGCAAAAACAGTGATTATGTGTGAGTGAGGTGAAAGAGTTGAATGATGATGAAAGTATTTTCTTTTTGGTGATTTGCCTTCTTTTTGGGTCACCCTGCCTCGATGGGAGACAGCCGATTTGTTAAAAAAAAAAAAATTCTATTCACTCATGGGCAAGTCCCACTCAAATCAAATCTTGTGTGTGGGGAAGTACCCTGGCTGGTGTATGGGGAAGTGCCCTGGCTGGTGTGTGTGGGGAAGTACCCTGGCTGGTGTGTGTGTAGGAGAGTACCCTGGCTGGTGTGTGTGTGGGGGAATACCCTGGCTGGTGTACATAAGAAAGCAGGAACATTGCAGCAGACCTGTTGGCCCATACTAGGCAGGCCCTTCACCCCAAGCAATAAGCTTTGAGAATTCTATTAACTCATGCGCAAGTCCCACTCAAATCAAATTGTGTGTATGGGGAAGTACCCTGTCTGGTGTGTGGGGAAGTACCCTGGCTGGTGTGTTCTTTCTTGAATTCTATAGTGTTTATCACCTTCTTTACCAAAGGGCTGGCACTAGGAGCATTCTTTTGGCCCATGGTGGCTTATTAAACAGTTGCAAGCAGTAAAACGAATGGAATATTACGTAATGTATCGTATGAACGCATAGGGTCGTGCTCACTGGCTGATAAACAATGGCACACTGACTGTAAATGGTGTGTCGGGGCCGCTTGGACGCGTTTGGGATGAATGACTATTACTGAGCTAAATGACAATCACCAAGCCAATATTTTGATGAAAAAACTTTACGATTACCGAATATTACGAAATCCGACAACTACTATATCTGGGGGTCCACTGCATTAGAATAATTCAGAATACCATAGCTGGAATAATTCACATATAACCCACACTTAGAGGTGAAACTTTAGACATTCTGGTCTATCGTGGTCTTTATATTCCAAGTTGGACCAAAACACTGCATTATCACATGTATTAAAAGATAAAAGAAATTAAAAAACCTAACAGATACAAAGAGAGAACAGACACCACCATGGAATAAAAGATGTATGAAAAGCAAGCTTTTATTATATCAACTGTAAAAAACTTTACCAAGTCTTATAGCTTTTAGTAAAGCAAAATGTTGTCCCAATAAAAGTTTATTCTGCATACATATACTCTATTTTTGTCAGCATCTCACCCTGGTATCTAGACATCATTCTACCATAAATCAGGCAATAAATATTCCAAAGCAAAAAATGTATATTCCATTCATACCTAAATATACTCATACAGTGGAACCTCGAGTTTCGACGTAATCCGTTCCAGAAGCTCAGCCAAAACTCAAAACTGTTTGAAAGTCAAAGCAATATTTCCCATAAGAAATAATGTAAGTCCAATTAATCCGTTCTAGACACCCAAACATATTCACAAAAAATAATTTTTTTAAAGAATAAATATAGTTTTACATACAGAAAACAATGAGAAATAAATATAAACATTACATAGAATGTGTGTAAAGGTAGAAAGTTGAAAGTGAACATAGAAAAGAGTAAGGTGATGAGGGTATCAAATGATTTAGATAAAGAAAAATTGGATATCAAATTGGGGAGGAGGAGTATGGAAGAAGTGAATGTTTTCAGATACTTAGGAGTTGACGTGTTGGCGGATGGATTTATGAAGGATGGGTTAATCATAGAATTGATGAGGGAAAAAAGGTGAGTGGTGCGTTGAGGTATATGTGGAGTCAAAAAACGTTATCTATGGAGGCAAAGAAGGGAATGTATGAAAGTATAGTAGTACCAACACTCTTATATGGATGTGAAGCTTGGGTGGTAAATGCAGCAGCGAGGAGACGGTTGGAGGCAGTGGAGATGTCCTGTCTAAGGGCAATGTGTGGTGTAAATATTATGCAGAAAATTCGGAGTGTGGAAATTAGGAGAAGGTGTGGAGTTAATAAAAGCATTAGTCAGAGGGCAGAAGAGGGGTTGTTGAGGTGGTTTGGTCATTTAGAGAGAATGGATCAAAGTAGAATGACATGGAAAGCATATAAATCTATAGGGGAAGGAAAGAGGGGTAGGGGTCGTCCTCAAAGGGTTGGAAAGAGGGGTAAAGGAGGTTTTGTGGGTGAGGGCTTGGACTTCCAGCAAGCGTGCATGAGCGTGTTAGATAGGAGTGAATGGAGACGAATGATACTTGGGACCTGACGATCTGTTGGAGTGTGAGCAGGGTAATATTAGTGAAGGGATTCAGGGAAACCGGTTATTTTCATATAGTCGGACTTGAGTCCTGGAAATGGGAAGTACAATGCCTGCACTTTAAAGGAGGGGTTTGGGATATTGGCAGTTTGGAGGGATATGTTGTGTATCTCTATACGTATATACTTCTAAACTGTTGTATTTGAGCACCTCTGCAAAAGCAGTGATAATGTGTGAGTGTGGTGAAAGTGTTGAATGATGATGAAAGTATTTTCTTTTTGGGGATTTTCTTTTTTTTTTTTGGGTCACCCTGCCTGGTGGGAGACGACCGACTTGTTGAAAAAAAAAAAAAAAAAAAATTACATACCTATATTGAAGACTCTTGTTGGCTTATGGAAGACAGGGAGGAGGAGAGTTTGTTTGGAGACAGGAAAAGTTACTCCTTCAATATAACGCTAATATCAACTCTACGGCTTATTTATCTATCACATTAATCTAGTAAGACATAATAAACAATATTAATAACATAGAAACATGATATATACTCTAGAATGAATAAAATATGTCATTTTGTATATCACGAGTGTTGGTAGTGGTGGTGTTGTTGTTGTTGGGTTATCAGGGCCACTGGCAACATAAGCCATATAGTGGTGGCCATGGCAGCGGCGGTGGCAGCGGCAGTGTTGTCAGTGGCCCTATATACCTCCAATAACACTAGAGGAGTTAGTTTTGTGTCCTTTTCTGTCGCTTAATCGCTTAACTTACTTGCTACACTGTTAATGCTACACCTTATCACTGGCTGGCGTATAGCCTTTATTGACTCCTGCTGCTTTAGTATTTACATATCGTAGAATCACTGAAGAAGGCACATTCTCCCTTCTCTCTTCCTCCTCCAATTTTGTACTTTGCTACAATTTCTTTCTTCAATTCTATCATGTTTCTCACTTTCTTTACCAAAGGGCTGCACTAAGAAGTTTCTTTGGGCCCATGGTTAAATATGCAGCAGTCGCACTCAATCAACAAGCACAAAAATACAATGGATTATTGTGAAATGCTCGGATGAAAGTGCAGAAACAAAGCCAGACTGGCTCGCAACAAAAGTGTGGAATGCTTTGTGTGGGCAGCGGGCAGGTGTGGGCATGTAGACAGGTCTGGTATGGCGCTGAAATTCAAGGCACTGTTCGAAACTCAAGACAAAATTTAGCAAAAAAAAGTGACCGAAACTCAAAACGGCCAAAACTTGGGGAGGCTGAAACTCGAGGTTCCACTGTACTTATATCATAAGTATGTGTATATTTATATATGAAGTGAGTAAATGTTGTTTTCTTGCAGCTTACTACATTATTTGTTTTTTAAACACACTGGCCATTTCCCACCGAGGCAGGGTGACCCAAAAAAGAAGTAATAAAAGTTTTTCTTTTTTTTTACATTTAGTAATTTATGCAGTATTTTAGTCACTTCTTACAACATGCATAGCTTACGGAGGAAGGATTCTTTCCATTTCCCCACGGAGTTACTGTATTATATGTAAATAATTATCACCTTTCAACACAGTCAAATCTGGAAGCACATGGGTTGGATGCTGGTGCATCATGACCACCAACAGCATAAAGGAAGCCGTTAACTACCCCAACTCCAACACCACCTCTTCTTCTGGCCATGGGTGCACAAGGGGTCCACTTATTGGTATGAGGATCATAACACTCAACAGTTCGTAAGCATGATGATCCGTCTCTTCCTCCCACTGCATACAATCTGAAGATACAGTATATTCAGTGATTAATAACAGTCTTTGTCACTTCACAAAAACAAAGGCCTATAACATCCTGCTTCAATAAATTTTTTGAGTAATATGTTAATCTATAAAGCAAGTTTTTGGTTTTTCAAAATCTTCAAAGTAGTGCTAAAATCAAAGTGTAGAAGATATTTTCTTGTGCTTATTTCACTATATTAAATATGACTTCCTCTACCACTGGGTATCTTATTACTAATCTAAGACATCCTGTTTTTTTATATGTACAGTATATACAATAAACTTTCTTTCTTTCCTCTTAACATCTTTAGACTGGCAGGAGATATTATATCATACCCAGCACACACTACAGAAAAAGGTTTTAGGCCTCCTTAGCTCTCTGTTTACTTTGAGGTATATGACTTCTAAAGTGAAGCTCTCATTGGTTTATATCTAAATGATGATTTATTTTTTTTTAACACTTGTCGGTTTTCAAACCCATTCATCACAATATGAAAGAGAAAAAATTAGATACACTTTTCATTACAAGGAGAAGGTTAAGATTGGGCAGGTTACCATATGGCTACAGAGTGTGTGACCAAAGGAAAAAACTATTATTTGGGTATTAACACTAAACTTTTCCTGCTGCAGTGTATGCATTGACAATTAGTCTATACTTTGTGTTTTGAATTTTTTCCAGCTCAAGAGAATCAAATTTAGTTTTAAAGATACAACCCTAAGAAAAATACTACATTGAGAAATTTAAAGTATAATATATTTGACAATGCAGGGACTGCACCTTCCATTGAGAACAGCTACTCCTACGGTTGATCTTGAAGAAGCCATGGGTGCAACATAACTCCACTGCCGTGCTTGTGGATCCCATCTTTCCACAGTATTGAGGTAACTCCAACCATCATGACCACCAACAGCATAGAGGGGACCCTCCAAAACACCTACGCCTGTGATACAAATACTGCATGTAATTTAGTGTGCTTATCTGTCCAGACAAGAAGAAAATATATACTGGTATGTATGTAAAACAACTACTGTGAAAAAATGGTGAAATTCCAAGTGTTTTCATGATTTCTCACATTATAAAGGACCTGTAAAACAGAACAGCAGAAGACTTACAAGACTGAGATATCACCTCACATATAATATTATAACCGTCCCATTATGATGCAGTTGGGAAGGTCAAGGACTCGTCAAACATAGCTTAAATTCTTCCCAAATTTTATTAATTATAAATGAATCTAATTTGTATAACCCTAAACCAAATTAGATTCTTCTCTTTCTTCTTTCAACAAACCGGCCGTATCCCACCAAAGCAGGGTGGCCCAAAAAGAAAAACAAAAGTTTCTCTTTTTAAATTTAGTAATTTATACGGGAGGAGGGGTTACTAGCCCCTTGCTCCCGGAATTTTAGTCGCCTCTTACAACACGCATAGCTTATGGAGGAAGAATTCTGTTCCACTTCCCCATGGAGATAAGAGGAAATAAACAAGAACAAGAACTAGAAAGAAAATAGAAGAAAACTCAGAGGGGGTATGTATATATATGTTTGTACATGTATGTGTAGTGTGCCCTAAGTGTAAGTAGAAGTAGCAAGATGTACCTGAAATCTTGCATGTTTATGAGACAGAAAAGAGACACCAGCAATCCTACCATCGTGTAAAAAAATTACAGGCTTCCGTTTTACACTCACTTGGCAGGACGGTAGTACCTCCCTGGGTGGTTGCTGTCTACCAACCTACTACCTAACAAATTAGATTCATTTATAATTAATAAAATCGGAGATAAATTTAAGCTATGTTTGACAAGTCTTCAACCATCTCACCTGCATCAAAATGGGATGGGTGTAATGTTGTATGCGAGGTGATATCTCAGTCTTATAAGCCTGCTGTTCTGTTTTTTTTTTTACAGGTCCTTAAAAATGTGAGAAATGCTGAAAGTGCTTGGAATTTCAAAACTTTTTCATAGTGGTTGTTTTTCATATTGTGATGTACCTGCTTACTGTGATCCGACTGCATCACTGGTATGTATTATATATACACAGGAAGTTGCAAGCTACACATTCATAAGAAGAATGAATAATAAAATCCCAATTTAACCCTTAAACTGTCCAATCTTAAATCTATGTTCACTTGTGCAGTGCTCTGTATTTTGAAAAAAAAAAATATTTTTTTTTAAATGAAGAGTGAATTTTTCTACGTGTAATAGGATAAAAAAAAATTTTTAGGGTCAGTACTTAACGGGATTTAAGCCCGCAAAGTTGGCGCTGGATGCTCACCTGATGGTAACGCTGAGTCCTGCTGCTTGTAGAAGTGCTGCTGATATACCTTTTTTTCTCATTTTTATTTTAATTTATGTAATATTTATGTTCTTGTGATTTCATTGCCAGTTTTTGTTCTGACACTAATATTAGGTACTGAAATAGTACTCAAATAGTCACAATCATACCGACAGGTGAACATTTTCACCTGCCTTGGTCATTGACTATTGTCTAGAAATATATACAAAGTATTTATAGGTCTCAGCAATGTTTTAGACATGCTGGTGTATATATGAAACTCCTTGAAGCATGGTGTTGACAAGTGTCAGTAAACTGCTGACAGTGCAGTGACACATGATGAATGTGCACCACTCCATGGAACCCTGGCTTTATTTGTTTTTACTGTTACACACTAATATGTCTGTTTCTCTGTCTGTCTGTTTAGCTCTGCTTATCTGTCTTTCTGTCTCCCTGTGTCTCTCTCTCTTTCCGTCTGCTTGTGTGTCTATCTGAGGGAGCGGCTCATAACCAACAGGTATATGAACGGCTCCCTGATTCCCAAGCAAGTGAAAATGTGTATTACTTGCGTCATGCTTATTATGCCTTATATCTACAAGCACTGTATAGCACTTTGCCTGGAATTTTTGGGTTATCCTAGGTAATTTACACTATGTATAATAACTGTACTTATGTGTACCTGTGAGAGACAGAGACAGAGATATAGACAGACAGATAAACAGAGACAGATACAGATAGAGAGACAGCCACAGTCAGTCAGCCAGCCAGCCGGCCAGCTTGCCGAATACATATTACACATTCCAGAATCATTTCTCTTTATTTAGGGCATAGGTTATTGGACATTCTGGCAGGATGACACTACCAGTGGTATCAGAAATGAAAGGATGTTGCACAAATGCTGCACATGGGTTATTATAGAGGCTTTTGATATTTCCTCGACCATCTGTGGCCACGTCCATCTCAAAGCCACTAAACTCTGGGTCAACATCACTTTCTTCTTAACCCTTTCAGGGTCCGTCCCGTAGATCTACGGCTTTACGTTCAGGGTCCAAATCGTAGATCTACATCATGAGCTCAGCTCACTCTGATAAACTGTGAGTAGTACATTTGGGCTTAGATATGAGAGAATACATCTATGTGGTATGTGTGCACCACATAAAACAAATCCTGCAGCACACTGTGTATAATGAGAGAAAAAAACTGAGACCATGATTTTCGATCAAAACAGCGACTTTGCAGTGCTTTTTCATATGTTTTTTATAGTTATATTTCCGATTTCTTGGTCTCATTTGATAGAATGGAAGACATATTATAGAAATAGATATGATTTTGATTGGTTTTAGCACTGGAAATGGCTTGAAACTGAGCTCAAAGTAGCGGAAATGTTAAATTTTTGCCGATGTTCAAGAGTAAACAAACGACTTCACACGTCTAATACACGCCAGCTGGTGGGTCTAATATACATTCACAAATGTGTTGATGATATTTATACAATTATTACAATATTGCATAACAGTAAATCTTCTATTTTTTGGTGTGAATAAAAATTCATTATGTGAATAAAAAATCAAAATGGAATTCATTTGTAAAGCCTCAAAATGTAACTAATGAACAGAGGAAATGTTAGTTTAGTGCCAGGAATACCTACATTGTTTATTCTGGACCCTATTTTGAAACTGGAATATTTTGAACTTTGAGTTAAATTGGCCAAATTACCAATTTCCGATCACTTTATTTTGTAGTTGAAACAGTTGACTTGGTGATTTCTTGTGCTCAATCGATAGAATATAAGTAATACTAGTGAAATAGCTAAGAATTTGGTCGACTGGAATAATGTAATTGACCTAAAATGGGAGTCAAAGTCGGCAAAATCGCCGATTCGTAAATATCGCTGACACATTAAAATTCGCGAGAGCATAATCTCGTCAATTTTCCATCAAATTTCATACTTTTTGTTTTATTACCTTCAGAAAAAGATTCTCTACCATTTCATAAGAAAAAATAAAATTTTTTTTTTTAAATTCTTGGACACTGGGGCACCACAACAGATTTTGGCCTTGGACCCTGAAGGGGTTAAAAGGGGAGTGTTAATAAGACATGACATTGGTGAATCCCTGGTGTTTGCCACGCTATTTGCTCTAGCTGGCACTCAACTGAACTGGTGCTCAGACAATGTACTAAGTGGTCCCACACACACCGAGTGTTAAGACCCATTCTATACTGACCATGCATCTCATGCCAATTGTGCCATATTTGGAAGCAGGAAAAATAAAGCTTAGATCTACGTTTGAACAGTTTCACCCGTAAACGGTCCAAACGTATTATATACGTTCTTACTGTTAGCGCCCCAAACGTATATATACATTTTATTTTTCCTGCCTCCAAATTTGGCACTATTGGCCTGAGATGCCTGGTCAACATAGAATGGGTCTTAACACTCGGTGTGCACCATATTAAAAAATCTGGGACCACTTAATACCTTGTGGGAGTGCCAGTTAGAGCAAATAGTGTGGAAAACACCAAGGATTCACTGATTTTTTTTTTTCAACAAGTCGGCCGTCTCCCACCGAAGCAGGGTGACCCAAAAAGATGTAATGTCATATTAACACTACCTTTTAAGAGGAAAGTGATGCTGACCCCAAGTTTAGGGTCTGTCTACCTGTCTCTGTCTATCTGTCTGTCTATCTCTTCTCATCTCTGTCTCACAGGTACACATAAATACAATTATACATAGTGTAAATTACCTAGGATAACCTAAAAAATCCAAAGTGCTATACTGTGCTTGTAGATATAATGCATAAGAATATCTGTTGGTTCACAGTGGCTCTCTCTGAGACAGAAATAGAGAGAAGCAGAGAGATGGAAAGAGAGACAAGCAGACAGAAAGAAAAGACAGAGACACAGATAAGCAGAGACAGAGATGTCGACGCTCATCAAATGTCATCCCTTATCTCATCTTATCTCTGCACCCTGCAGGCACCCATCAAATGTCATCCCTTATCCTATCTTATCTCTGCACCCTAGCAGGTGCCCATCAAATGTCATCCTTTATCTCATCTTATCACTGCCCTCTCAGATGCTTGTCACTGACATCATGCTTCAAGGGAACTACTACTACTACTTCTTTCTTCTCCCTTCTTCTTCCTTAAGTAAGTAAGTAAATTTATTCAGGTATACACAAATACAGTTACATAGAATTATCATACATAGCAGCATATGTGTAGAGAACCTAGGATAACCCAAAAAAGTCAGACAGAGTGACTTATTTCTCTCTTCTTCCTTCTTCTATACTTTAGTGTATCCAAAACATTGCTGGGACCTATAAATACTTTGTATATATTCCTAAACAATAGTAAATGACAAAGGCAGGTGTAAATGTCCACCTGTCAATGTGTTTGTGACAATTTGAGTACAATTTCAGTACCTAATATTAGTGTCAGAACAAAGATTGGTTATGAAATGACAAGAACTACTATAAATTGTAATTATCAGAACATAAAAATTATATAATATAAAAATGAGAAAAAAAGGTATATTGGCAACACTTCTGCAAGAGCAGGACTCAATGTGTCACGTGAGCATTAAGTGCCAACTTTGCAGCCTCCTATCTCAGTAAGTATTGACCCTATTTTTTCTATTTTAATCCTAAAACACTTAGAAAAAATTTCACTTTATTTCAACAATTTTTTTTTTTTATTTTTCAAAATATTCAGGGCACTGGGTGAGAGAACTTATATATATGTTTGGACCGTTTAGGGTTTAAGGGTTAAAACACATCCAGAAATGCAAAATTCAAATTTATCACAGGAGAGTTTACCTAAGCCATGTCTGTGAGTTGACATAGGAGGAAGCTGAGACCAAGTGTTTGTGCTTGGATCATATGCTTCAGCAGTATTCAGTGTCTTGAGGCCATCTCTACCACCAACTACATGCAATTTTCCATCCAAAACTGCCACACCAAATTGCAAACGTCGTCCAGTCATTGTTCCCACAGTGGTCCAGCTATTGGTTCTTAAGTTGTACTTTTCAATTCCAGTTGAACCTGTAATACAAAGTCTGGTACACAAACAATAAAACACCTAGTAAAACACAAATTAAAACTCAAGAATGTACAGAAGTGCATGAAAGTTGTTACCCAAGATGAAAGGAATGAATTCTGAACTGAGAGAGAATACCTAACAATTATCTTGAGAGACTTTAATGCCAATGAAGAAAGCATAGCAAAAAAGTTTAGTGTGCCAAAAGAAACTGACAGTAGGGTTTTTTTTTTTTTTTAACAAGTCGGCCATCTCCCACTGAGGCAGGGTGACCCAAAAAGAAAGAAAATCCCCAAAAAGAAAATACTTTCATCATCATTCAACTCTTTCACCTCACTCACACATTATCACTGTTTTTGCAGAGGTGCTCAGAACACAACAGCTTAGAAACATATACGTATAAAGATACACAACATATCCCTCCAAACTGTCAATATCCCGAACCCCTCCTTTAGAGTGCAGGTATTGTACTTCCCATTTCCAGGACTCAAGTCCGGCTATATAAAAATAACCGGTTTCCCTGAATCCCTTCACTAAATATTACCCTGCTCACACTCCAACAGATCGTCAGGTCCCGAATACCATTCGTCTCCATTCACTCCTATCAAACACGCTCACGCACGCCTGCAGGAAGTCCAAGCCCCTCGCCCACTATTTTTAGAAAGATTTTTTTAATAGGCAATATACATCTTAAGAGGATACATAAGTATAAGATATAAACAGCTATTGGAGGATAGATGGGCTAATGAGAGCATAGGCAATGGGGTCGAAGAGGTATGGGGTAGGTTTAAAAATGTAGTGTTAAAGTGTTCAGCAGAAGTTTGTGGTTACAGGAAAGTGAGTGCAGGAGGGAAGAGGAGTGATTGGTGGAATGATGATATAAAGAGAGTAGTAAGGGAGAAAAAGTTAGCATATGAGAAGTTTTTACAAAGTAGAAGTGATGCAAGGAGGGAAGAGTATATGGAGAAAAAGAGAGAGGTTAAGAGAGTGGTGAAGCAATGTAAAAAAAGAGCAAATGAGAGAGTGGGTGAGATGTTATCAACAAATTTTGTTGAAAATAAGAAAAAGTTTTGGAGTGAGATTAACAAGTTAAGGAAGCCTAGAGAACAAATGGATTTGTCAGTTAAAAATAGGAGAGGAGAGTTATTAAATGGAGAGTTAGAGGTATTGGGAAGATGGAGAGAATATTTTGAGGAATTGCTAAATGTTGATGAAGATAGGGAAGCTGTGATTTCATGTATAGGGCAAGGAGAAATAACATCTTGTAGGAGTGAGGAAGAGCCAGTTGTGAGTGTGGGGAAAGTTTGTGAGGCAGTAGGTAAAATGAAAGGGGGTAAAGCAGCTGGGATTGATGGCATAAAGATAGAAATGTTAAAAGCAGGTGGGGATATAGTTTTGGAGTGGTTGGTGCTATTATTTAATAAATGTATGAAATAGGGTAAGGTACCTGGGGATTGGCAGAGAGCATACATAGTTCCTTTATATAAAGGCAAAGGGGACAAAAGAGAGTGCAAAATTTATAGGGAGATAAGTCTGTTGAGTATACCTGGTAAAGTGTATGGTAGAGTTATTATTGAAAGAATTAAGAGTAAGACAGAGAATAGGATAGCAGATGAACAAGGAGGCTTTAGGAAAGGCAGGGGGTGCGTGGACCAGGTGTTTACAGTGAAACATATAAGTGAACAGTATTTAGATAAGGCTAGAGAGGTTTTTGTGGCATTTATGGATTTGGAAAAGGCATATGACAGGGTGGATGGGGGGGCAATATGGCAGATGTTGCAGGTGTATGGTATAGGAGGTAGTGAAGCAGTGAAGAGTTTTTACGAGGATAGGCTCAAGTTAAAGTATGTAGGAAAGATGTCACCGTGGTTGTTGAATATATTTATAGATGGGGTTGTAAGAGAAGTAAATGTGAGGGTCTTGGCAAGAGGCGCGGAGTTAAAAGATAAAGAATCACACATAAAGTGGAAGTTGTCACAGTTGCTCTTTGCTGATGACACTGCTCTTGGGAGATTCTGAAGAGAAGTTGCAGAGGTTGGTGGATGAATTTGGTAGGGTATGTAAAAGAAGAAAATTAAAAGTGAATACAGGAAAGAGTAAGGTTATGAGAATAATACAGGAAAGAGTAAGGTTATGAGGATAACAAAAAGATTAGGTGATGAAAGATTGGATATCAGATTGGAGGAAGAGAGTATGGAGGAGGTGAATGTATTCAGATATTTGGGAGTGGAAGTGTCAGCGGATGGATCTATGAAAGATGAGGTGAATCATAGAATTGATGAGGGGAAAAAGGTGAGTGGTGCACTTAGGAGTCTGTGGAGACAAAGAACTTTGTCCTTGGAGGTAAAGAGGGGAATGTATGAGAGTATAGTTTTACCAACGCTCTTATATGGGTGTGAAGCATGGGTGATGAATGTTGCAGCGAGGAGAAGGCTGGAGGCAGTGGAGATGTCATGTCTGAGGGCAATGTGTGGTGTGAATATAATGCAGAGAATTCGAAGTTTGGAAGTTAGGAGGAGGTGCGGGATTGCCAAAACTGTTGTTCAGAGGGCTGAGGAAGGGTTGTTGAGGTGGTTCGGACATGTAGAGAGAATGGAGCGAAACAGAATGACTTCAAGAGTGTATCAGTCTGTAGCGGAAGGAAGGCGGGGTAGGGGTCAGCCTAGGAAAGGTTGGAGGGAGGGGGTAAAGGAGGTTTTGTGTGCGAGGGGCTTGGACTTCCAGTGCGCATGCGCGAGCGTGTTTGATAGGAGTGAATGGAGACAAATGGTTTTTAATACTTGACGTGCTGTTGGAGTGTGAGCAAAGTAACATTTATGAAGGGATTCAGGGAAACCGGCAGGCCGGAGTTGAGTCCTGGAGATGGGAAGTACAGTGCCTGCACTCTGAAGGAGGGGTGTTGATGTTGCAGTTTAAAAACTGTAGTGTAAAACTCCCTTCTGGCAAGACAGTGATGGAGTGAATGATGGTGAAACTTTTTCTTTTTCGGGCCACCCTGCCTTGGTGGGAATTGGCCAGTGTGTTAATAAAAAAATAATTAATAATAAAACGTAAGTATACACTAGGTAGTAGGTTGGTAGACAGCAACTGCCTAGGGAGGTACTACCGTCCTGCCAAGTGAGTGTAAAACAGAAGCCTGTAATTGTTTTACATGATGGTAGGATTGCTGGTGTCCTTTTTTCTGTCTCATAAACATGCAAGATTTCAGGTACGTCTTGCTACTTCTACTTACACTTAGGTCACACCACACATATATGTTCTTCTTTTCTTTCAACGTACCAGCCGTATCCCACTGAGGTGGGGTGGCCCAAAAGAAAAAACTGAAGTTTCTCCTTTTAAATTTAGTAATATACAGGAGAAGGGGTTACTAGCCCCTTGCTCCCGGCATTTTAGTCGCCTCTTACGACACACATGGCTTATAGAGGAAGAATTCTGTTCCACTTCCCCATGGAGATAAGAGGAAATAAACAAGAACAAGAAAGAAAATAGAAGAAAACCCAGAGGGGTGTGTATATATATGCTTGTACATGTATGTGTAGTGTGACCTAAGTGTAAGTAGAAGTAGCAAGACTTACCCGTAATCTTGCATATTTATGAGACAGACAAAAGACACCAGCAATCCTACCATCATGTAAAACAATTACAGGCTTTCGTTTTACACTCACTTGGCAGGACGGTAGTACCTCCCTGGGCGGTTGCTGTCTACCAACCTACTACCTAGTACACATATATGTACAAGCATATATATACACACCCCTCTGGGCTTTCTTCTATTTTCTTTCTAGTTCTTGTTCTTGTTTATTTCCTCTTATCTCCATGGGGAAGTGGAACAGAATTCTTCCTCTGTAAGCCATGCATGTTGTAGGGGCGACTAAAATGCTGGGAGCAAGGGGCTAGTAACCCCTTCTCCCATATAAATTAATAAATTTAAAAAGAGAAACTTTCGTTTTTCCTTTTGGGCCACCCTACCTTGGTGGGGTACGGCCGGTTTGTTGAAAAAAAAAAAGTATACACTAGGTAGTAGGTTGGTAGACAGCAACCGCCCAGGGAGGTACTACCGTCCTGCCAAGTGAGTGTGAAATGGAAACCTGTAATTGCTAGACATGATGGTAGGAGTTCTGGTATCTGTTTTCTGTCTTATAAACACATGGGATAACAGGTATATCTTCTACTTCTACTTACACTTAGGTCACACTATACATTAATTTTTTTTTTTTCAACACTTTGGCTTTCTCCCACCAAGGCAGGGTGACCCATAAAAGAAACACTTTCACCATCATTCACACATAATCACTGTCTTTGCAGAAGTACCCAGATACAACAGTTTAGATGTCACTCCAAACAGCCAATATCCCAAACCCCTCCTTTAAAGTGCAGGCATTGTACTTCCCACCTCCAAGACTCGGGTCTGCTAATTGTTTCCCTGAATTCCTTCACAAAATATTACCCTGCTCACACTCCAACAGCTTGTCAGGTCCCAAAAACCATTCGTCTCCATTCACTCCTATCTAACATGCTCACACATACCTGCTGCACATCCAAACCCCTTGCACACAAAACCTCTTTTATCCCCCTTCCTCCATCCTTTCCTTAGATGACCCCTACCCCTCCTCCCCTACACTACAGATTTATACATGCTCCAAGTCATCCTATTTTGCTCCATCCTCTCTAAATGACCAAACAACCTCACCAGCCCTCTGAATAATACTTTTAGTAACTCCACACCACTTCCTAATTTCTACACTATGAATTCTCTGCATAATACTTACACCACACATTACCCTTAGACATGACATCTCCAATGCCTCCAGCCTCCTCCTTGCTGCAGCATTTACAACCCATGCATCACACCCATACAAGAGCATTCGTACCATTATACACTTGTACATTCCCTTCTTTGCCTCCATGGAAAACATTGTCTCCACTGATATCTCAATGCACCACTCACCTTCTTTCCTTCATCAATTCTATGGTTAACCTCGTCCTTTATAAACCCATCCACTAACAATTCTATTACCAAATATCTGAACACATTCACTTCCATAATCCCTCTCTCCAATGTGATATCCAATTTTCCTTTACTTAACTCGTTTGATACCCTCATCACTTTACTCTTATCTATGTTCACTTTCAAATTTCTTCCTTTACACACCTTCTCAAACTAGTCTACTAACCTTTGCAACTTCTCTTTAAAATCTCCCAAAAGTACAGTATGATCAGCAATAAGTAACTGTGTCAACTCCCATTTTGTATTTGATTCCCCATAATTTAATCCCATCTCTCTCCCAACACCCTGGCATATGCTTCAGCAATAACTATACATGCATGTCTACACATATATGTTTACACACTAATTTGGGTTTTCTTCTATTTTCTTAACAGTTCTTATTCTTCTTTCTATATTTCCTCTTATCTCCATGGGGAAGTGGAAAAGAATTCTTCCTTCATAAGCCATGCATGTCGTAAGAGCCGACTAAAATGTCAGGAGCAAGGAGCTAGTAGTCCCTTTTCCTGCATAAATTACTAAATGTAAAAGGAAAAACTTTAGTTTTTCTTTTTAGGTCACCCTGCCTCTGTGAGGTACAACTGGTGTACTGAAAAAAAAAGCAAGTATACAAGGTTTGAAGAAGTCTTTAATGATGAAAATTCGCTACACTACATATAATATAGGTGGATAAAATGTTGAAGGGTAAACTTCTGGGTGTATGTTTTAAAATCGGCTGTTATGTCCTTTAATTATTTAGTGGCAGCTACAGTAAATATTGATGTCTTTCTTTTTGAGCCACCCTGCCTCGGTGGGATATGGCCAGTGTATTGAAAGAAAAATGAGCTACAGTAAATGGAAGGTGAAGTACAAGGACAATAGTGTCAATGGGTAAAACAAAAGTGAATGTAAAGAGTTAAACAAAGTAACGGTTAATGCTAGATATAAGCAACTGTTATGACAGAAGCTGATTAGAAAAAGGAAAGTGATGAAAAGGTTAAGGAGGTATGGTGTGGATTTAAGAATGCAGTCACTAGTTGGTAAAATATGGGTTTGAAGAAAAAGGAATGATTCGTGGTGAAAGAGAAAAAAGTTTGCATGTGTTGAAAAAGTTTGGTCATTTAAAGCAGTGTAGCATTATAGGTTAACCAAGAGGGTGTATATCATTCTTACATTCATGGTAGAGTGCAAAACCCATAAGAGTCATACAGTGCCCAGGAAATGGGAGGAATTAAAGTTCAATCCGAGGAAAGCCCTCCTCATTGGCATCAGAGAGAGAAACAGGATGTATAAATGTGGAGTGTAGCAGGAAGGCAGGGAGTGTAGCAGGCATGCAGAGAGGGAGTGTAGCAGGGAGGCAGGGAGTGAACAGTTTTTTTGTGCGACAGAGATGCAGTGACTCAAGCTGGTCTTGTGGTAGCAAAAGACAAAGAAGGGAAGTAACCCCTCCTCGCCTTCTTCCATATGCCAACAAGAGTCTTCAATAAAGGTATGTAATGTTCATTTATTAATAAAATTAGTGCTTTATATTTCTTTCTCATTGTTTTGTGTATGTAAAACTATAGTTTTACATACACAAAACAATGTCTGGAACGGACTAATAGTATTTATATTAATTCTTATGGGAAATATCATTTTGGTTTTTGGCCATTTCAGTTTTAGGCCGACCTTTTGGAAAGGATTATGGCCGATAACCGAGGATCCACTGTATTACAATGTTGCATAACAGTAAATATTCCATTTTTTGGTGTGAATAAAGATTCATTATATGAATAAAAAATCAAAATGGAATTCATTTGTAAGGCCTGAAAATGTAACTAATGAACAGAGGAAATGTTAGTTTAGTTCCAGGAATGCCTGTATTATTTATTCTGGACCCTACAGTGGACCCTCGACCAACATTGGCATCGACTAACGTTAAATTCAACCAACGATACGTTAACGCTAACATGTTGCCTCGACTAACGTTACAAAAACTCGACTAACGATAATCGTTCTCGGGTACCAATTAATATCGTTAGTCAAGGGTCTACTGTATTTTGAAATTGGAATATTTTGAACTTTGTGTTAAATTGGCCAAATTACCAATTTCCGATCATTTTATTGGGTAGTTGAAACAGTTGGTTGGGTGATTTCTTGTGCTCAATCGTTGAAATAGAAGTAATACTAGCAAAATAGCTAAGAATTTGGTCGACTGGAATAATGTAATTGGCCTAAAATGGGAGTCAAATTGGGCAAAATCACCAATGTGTAAATATCGCTGATGCAGCAAAATTCACGAGAGCGTAATTTCGTCAATTTTGCATCAAGTTTCATACTTATTGTCTTATTAACTTCAGAAAAAGATTCTCTACCATTTCATAAGAAAAATAACAATTTTTTTTTTCTTTTTAAATTCTTGGACCCTGGCTGTCACTCTGAGATTTGGCTTCTGGACCCTGAAAGGGCTAAAGCATGATGGAATTAAACAAAATTTAAATGAAAAAATGTAACAACAATTTTCATATCCCCCCCCCCAAAAAAAAAGAGAGGGAACATCCTAAATCTTACTTCCTCTCCACCCACCCTTATTGGAGTCCATGCCCCCAACAACATAAAGATCTCCAACAGTGGATTTTCTGGGCTTGGTACGAGGTGACTGAAGAGTGGAACGTCTCTCTGGCAATAAATGGTACTTGAGCGCTTCCAGAATCAATTCTTGGCAATCTCGATCTTCTTTGAAGAGTGAATTAGTTTCTATATGATCAGTCAAGAACTGAAAATCAAAAGATTATTGGTAGAGCAAGAAAATTGAATAAAAAATGCAAAGAAAATGTGAAACTCAAATCTTATTATACTATACAGTATTGACAGTCAACCAATCTTATGCCAGTACTTCATTATTACCTCATCACATTTTTGGTTTTGTAATGGCTTCCTTATATTTATTTTACGGTATTTTATCTCTGATCATATCGTCATTCAGTCCAAAGCAAAGTGTGTGCTGTGAAGGTTGGATGATTACCCTGTCACAGCCTAACTGAGGTTGGAAGTACAGTGGAACCTCGGCTTATGAACGCCCCACCGTGCGAATTTTTCACGATACGAACCGTGATTCGGCCAATTTTTTGCTTCTGGATACGAAGGAAATTTCAGGATGCAAACTTCCCCCTCAAGGGAGGTTCCTTAAATAAATAAATAAAATATTTATTTCTTTGCAAAGGTTGCAATGTGTGTTTACATATCATAATATGATTGGAGCAAAGAAAGCCACTATCATACCAAGGCATTTCGGGCAGACCTAACCTAATACTAATACACTACTAAGTCTAGACAGGTGAAAAGTGTACTAGTAGTGGTTACCAATGTTTTGCTGATGGTGGTGGCAACTATTGGTAGCCTTCTGAAGTTTCTCCTTACTGTTATGTATTATTGTTACTATTATTATTATTACTATTATTATTACTATTATTATTATTATTATTATTATTACTATTATTATTATTACCTACCAAATGCTTCACAATTACTCAAACCCACACTATTTGCAGATGACACTACATACGTCTTCTCCCACCCGAGCCCAGTCACGCTAGCCAATATTGTAAATACCGAATTACAGAAAATATCTACCTGGATGAGGACTAACAAACTTACACTAAACATTGACAAAACCTACTTCATTCAGTTTGGTAACAGAGCTACAGATGTCCCTCTTAACATAATGATAAACGGATCACCTATCACAAAGCTAACAGAGGGAAAATTCTTAGGAATCCACCTTGATAATAGACTCAAATTTCATACACATATACAACAAATTTCTAAAAAAATTTCCAAGACTGTAGGCATACTATCGAAGATACGGTACTATGCTCCACAGTCAGCCCTCCTGGCCCTATATCACTCTCTTATTTACCCCTATCTCACCTATGGAATTTGTGCATGGGGCTCAACAACAATTAACCATCTCAGACCACTAATTACCCAACAAAAGGCTGCAGTTAGAATGATAACAAATTCTCACTACAGGCAGCACACTCCACCAATATTCAATACACTAAACCTACTCACCATACAAAACATCCATACTTATTACTGCACCTATTACATACATAGAACACTTAACTCTGATATTAACCCTCCCCTCAAACATCTCCTTGCCAACCTCAACAGAACACATGACCATAACACAAGGCACAGATCACTCTTTGATGTTCCTCGTGTCCATCTCACACTATGCAAAAACTCAATGCACATAAAAGGCCCTAAAATCTGGAATTCATTACCTGTAAATATAAAAGAAACACTACCTGTTTATAAATTCAAGTCTCTTCTCAAAGATCACTTACTCACCCAAAAACAAATAAATACTGAATAACTGAACCTTAAAATTGTATATCTTAAATGTTTCTCACAATTATATCACATAAATGTTAAACCTAAAACCCAATCTAACTTTACTATTTTTTAAATACACTACCTAACAGAATTCTCCATACGACTGAATGTACAACAATGCATGCAACCATATGACCTGTCATTGTAATACTCACTTGTGCTTTATAGTAATCTGTTTACATTAATGTTTTATCACTGATTTCATCATTGCTTAGTTAATCTTAAGTTAATTTTAAGCCAGCCCGTAATGCTATGCATAGTATAAGTGGTTTTGGCATGCTGCTCTTATCTGTATTTTTTTGTACCTCTGTATGTGTGCTCAAATTGTAAATAAATAAATAAATAAATAAATAAATAAATTATTAATAGGTAGTAGGTTGGTAGACAGCAACCACCCAGGGAGGTATTTCCCGTCCGGGCCAAGTGAGTAAAAAACAAACCCTGTGATTGTTTTCCCTGATGGTAGGATTGCTGATTCTTTTTTTCTGTCTCATAAAATGCAAGTTTTACAGGTTTGTCTTGCATTTTCTACTTAAAATTTAAAGGCAACTAAAACATACATGTAACATTTTTTTAATAAAACTCATCTGAGTTTTCTTTGATTTTATTTTAATTTATTTTCTGGTTTTTTTAAATTTTCCTTTAAACCAAAGGGGAAGTGGAATAAGAATCTTTCCCCCGTAAGCCATGCGTTTTGAAAAGTCAACTAAAATGGGGGGGAACAAGGGGGTAGAAAACCCCTTTTCTGTAAGATTACTAAAAAGAATAAAAAGAAAAAAAATTGTCAAAGTGGGAATTGGGAATGTGCTTTGGAGTTGTGCGGGATGTAAAAAAGAGATGTTGTGGTTTTTTGAATGAAAAGAAGCGGAGGTCCGGCTTTAAGTAAAACAAGCTAAAGGGGGGGTGGGAGGGGGAGTTTCAGTGGAGAGGAAAAATGGGTTAGGTCGGGGGTTTTTAAAATAGGTTAGAGCTAAAGGGAGTAGCAATAAGTTGAAGGAAAAAGAAATGGAAAAAAAAAGGGGGGGACTAAAAAGTTTTAAAATTCCCAAGGTTTTATGGGGAAAGGAAAAATAAAGTTTGGATGTAAAAAGGGGGTTTTAAAATAGCGTGGTATGTTCCTGGGAAAGAGGAATTTGTAGAGGAGAGAGAGAGTTTTTGGGGGAAATTTTGGAGGAATGCGTGGGGGTTTTGATAAAGTGTGAGATTAATGGGGTTTTGGGGATTTTAAGGCAAAAGGGGGTTTAAAAATTTTTTTATGGAGGGAGTAAGAAAGTGGGTTTAAAAATTGGGGGGTTTTCCCGGGGAAAATGTAAAGGGGGAAACCCTTTAAATTGAGCTATGTGTAGAAAAAAAATTTGGGTAAAAAATTTATTACAATTTTATAAAAAAGGGATAAAAAAAATTACAAGGTATGATGTAGCCGAAAGGGAAAGTAGTTTATTAGATTATGAAAATTGGTGGAAAAAAAGGTTGAGGGGTAGGCCCCCGGATGTAAAAGTTTTTAAGGGGGAAACTGTTTAAAATGGTCATTATTTAGTTGTAGCTACTTTTAGGGGAAAGGTAGAGGGGAAAAAGGGGGAAGGGTTGGCAACAAAAAGTAAGAGGGAAGTGAAAGTGTAAAAAACTAAGGGGGGAGGAATTTTCGGGTGGGATAAAAGCGACTTTGGCGAAAGGGGGGGTAGTGCAAAGTTGAGTAGGGGGGGGGTTTGAAGAGGGTTGGAAAAAATTTTTTTAAAAATTGCAGAAATTAGAATGGGGGGCAAAATTTTTTTGGTTATGGAGGGTGGGGGCGGGAGGAAAGAGGTGTGTTTGGTGGAATGATAAAGAAAAGGGGTTTGTGAAAAAAGAGAAAAAGGTAGTTATGAGGGGTTTTTTAAAAAAGCGGGAAGTGTTATAAGAAGAGCGAGTTTTTGGAAAGAGTAAAAGAAAGGTAAAGGGGGGTGGTGAGAGGGGGCAAAAGGGAGCAAAAGGAGAGTGGGAGAGGCACTGTCAAGAAATTTTAATGAAAATAAAAAAAATTTTGGGGTGGATTTAAAACCCAATTTAAAGAAAGCCTAGGGAAATATGGATTTGTCTTTAAAAAAACAGAGTAGGGGAGTTAGTAGATGGGGAGAGGGAAAGGTTTTGGGGTTGAGGCGAGAAAAATTTTGAGGAATTTTTAATGTTAAGGAAAAAACCCAGAGGCAGTAATTTCTTTGGCACTGGTAGGGAGGTATCCCATCTTTTAGGAGTGAAGAAGGCAGAATGAAAGTGGGGGGAAAGGTACGTGAGGCATTACGTAAAAAAAGGGGGGAAAAAGCAGAAAAACCTGATGGGATCATGACAAAAATTTTTAAAAAGCGGGGGGGGGGATATAGTTTTGGGGGAGGGGGTTGGTACTTTTTTTTTTAAAAAAATGTATAAAAAGGGGGGAAAGGGTTTATTTGGTTTGGGCAGGAGCAGGGTAAAAAGTCCCTTTAAAAAAGGGAAAGGGGACAAAAGAGACTGAAAAAAATTATAGAGGAAAAGGGTTTCCTGAGTATACCAGGAAAATTTGTGGGTTTTTGGGGTTTTAAAATTAAAAGGGAATTAGAGGTAAGACAGAATGTAGGTTGCGGAGGAGAAAGGGAAAGGTTTAAAGTTGGGTGGGGGGATGGGGAAAAATCAGGTTTTTAACATTAAATTAAAATAGTAAAACAGTATTTGGTTAAAGATGGGGAATTTTTTTTTTGCATTTAGGGTTTAGAAAACATATTTTAAGGGGGTGCGGGAAATTTTTAAAGGATGGGCAAGTTTTGGGAATTTTTAAAGTTTTTAATTTTGTAAAATTTTTTTTTAATTTTTAGTAAGGTTTAGGTTATTTTAAAAAAAACCCCCCCTTTTTTCCCTTTAAAACCCTTAAAAACCCCATTTTAATTTCACCTTTTTTTAAATTTTTTTTATTTAAAAAAAAAAAAAAAAATTTAAAAAAAAATTTTTCAAAAAGGGTTTTTTTTTTTTTTTTTTTGGGGAATAAAATTAAAAATTGGGAATTGAACATTTTACTTTTTGCTGATGATTGTGCTTATGGGAGTTTCTAAAGAAAATTTTGCAAAGGTTAGGGGAGGGAGTTTGGGAATGTTTTTGGTTAAAGGTTTGAAAGTTTGAAAGTGAACATAAAAAAGGGGGAAGTAAGGGGGATGGGGGTGTCAAATGATTTGAAAGAAAAATTGGAATCAAATTGGGGAGGGGGAAGTAGGGAAAAAGTATTTTTTTCAGATACTTTTGGGGGTTGGGCGGCGGCGGATGGATTTATGAAAGGAAAAGGGTTTTAATCATAGAATTGATGAGGGAAAAAAAAAGGTTTAGTGGGGGGTTTTAGGTATATTGGAGTCAAAAAAAAGTTTTCTTTGGAGGCAAAGAAAGGGAAAAAATGAAAGTTTTGTAGTACCAACATCTTATATGGGGGGGTGGGAAACTTGGGGGGTTTAAAAGCAAACAGCGAGGGGGGCGGTTGGAGGCAGCGGAGATGGGCTGTTTAAGGGCAAGGGTGGTGTAAATATTATAGAAAATTCGAGTGTGGGGAAATTTGGGGAAGGTTTTGGGTTTTTTTAAAAGTATTAGTCAGAGGGGAGAAGAAAAGGGGGGGATTTAGGTGGTTTTTGGGCATTTAGAGAGGGGAAAGGATTTACAGTAGAATGACCTGGAAAAATATAAAAACTATGGGGAGGAAAAGGGGGGGGTTGGGGGGGGTCCTCGGGAAAAGGGGTTTTTGGGAGAGGGGGGGTAAAGGAAAGGGTTTTTTGGGTAAGGGGCTTGGACTTCCAAAACAAGGTTTCGTGAGGTGTTAGATTAAAGGGGTGAAAAGGAGAGAAAAGGTATTGGGGCCTGACGATCTTTGGGGGTTTTGAGCAGGGGAATATTTTGTGAAGGGGGTTCAGGGGGGAAACCCGGGTTTTTTTCATATAGTCGGACTTGAGTCCTGGGGGAAAGGGAAGTACAAAAGCCCGCACTTTTAAAAGGGGGGGTTTGGGTTTTTGGCAGTTTGGAGGGATATGTTTTTGTTTCTTTATAGGGTTTTTGTTCTAGAAGTTGTATTTCTGAGCACCTCTGCAAAAAAAAGGTAAAGTCGAAATGTGGTGAAAAAATGTTGAATGAGATGAAAAAAAATTTTTTTTTTGGGATTTTTTTTTTTTTTTGGGTTTTACCCTGCCCGGGGGAGGTGGGAGACGGCCATTGTTGAAAAAAAAAAAAAAAAAAAAAAATATATATATATTTTTATATATTTCCCTATATTAAATACATAAAATACTACTTTCAAAACATACATACATAAAACACAATAAATACATAATACATTTCATTTAACCCTACATACATTTCACACCATACTTTTTTTTTTTTTTGCATGGCCCTTCCCCCCAGGCCCGGGTGGCCCCAAAAAAAAAACTTTCACCATCATTAGGGGGGGAAACCGGGGTTTTTTTATATAGTCGGGGCTTGAGTCTGGGAAAGGGGGTCAATGCCTGGGCCTTTTTTTTAAAAAAAGGGGTTTGGGATATTGGGCAGTTTGGAAAGGGGTATGTTGTTTTATCTTTATGTGTATGTTTTTAGGTTTTTGTTTTTCTGAGCACCTCCCGCAAAAACAGTGTTTAAAGTGCGAGTGTGGTGGGAAAATGTTGAATGATTTATGAAAGTATTTTTTTTTTTGGGGGAAATTTTTTTTCTTTTTTTGGGGCACCTTTCCTTGGGGGGGGAGACGGCCCCCACTTTTTTGAAAAAAAAAAAAAAAAAAAAAAAAAAAAAAAAATTTTTTAATTATTTTATTAGTAGTAGTTGTATGTAAAAAGTGATGGGCTTTTTGATCTAGGGAATTGGATTGTGGTCCGTTCCCTAAAATTTTAATTTAAAAATTAAAAATTATAAAACGTAAGGGATTAATAATAATAAAAATAATTTAAAAATTATAAAATGTTTTGTAAATTTAAAAATAATAATAATAATAAAAATTATAAAAAAACTTATACTAAAAATAATAATAATTTTAACATAAAAATAATAAAAATAATAATACAATAGTAATAATAATAATAATAACTTTTAGTTGTCAACTTTTAACCCTTTTTCGTAAATTTTTTTTTATATTTTTTGTGCCCAAAGGGTTCAAAATACAAATTGGTAACCCCCAGGGTGGTGTGGGACTTTTAGGCCCCCAAACTATTCGTTTCTAAACCAAGAGTCAAAAGGGAAAAGGTGGCTGTCTGAGTGACCGCAGCAGGGCCCTTTTTGGGTGCCTAATTTTGTCTTATATTGTAAAATTTCTTACAAAATGCCCCGCCCAAAAAGAAAGTATTCGCGTACAATCCCCCAAGTTTCCCGAGGAAAAATAAAATTTAAAAATCGAAAAAAAAAACTAGAGAAGAAGAAAAGAAGCAGAGCATAGAGTGAGGGCAGCTGGCCCCTGCCCCACCACCACTGTGGCCCCAGTGATCTTTTTTCCCTATTTATAGTTTTTATTTTGTCTTGGGCCACACCTGTGGTTACTTTTGTGAAACCTCACCCCTAATATAGGGTTTTCCCCCCCAAGGGTAAAGGGGTGGGGGGAAAGGATGGGAAGATACTAGAGGGGGAGGAAAAAGGCGGGGCTTTTGCCGCTGCCGGCGTCGCCATCACCTGCCATATTATGGCCTATTTTATTCATTCTAAAGTATATATCATGTTTCTACGTTATTAATATTGTTTATTATGTCATATTAGATTAAACTGTGATAGATAACTAAGCCATAGAGTTGATATTAGCATTATTTTGTCATGCCTCCTGAGAGGCTGGAGCGAATTAACTGCATTTCAATTAATTTAAATGAGGAAAATTGACTCAGCATACGAACAAATCAGGATACGAACAAGGTCACGGAACGGATTAAATTCGTAAGCCGAGGTTCCACTGAACTCAGTTTTCTATCTAATGGCTCACTTTTTAAGTACAAGCATGTCTAGTCTACTCTCACATTATTTCCTAACCATCTGCTAGAAAAAACTGAAAGATGGTGGCTATGGACAGCAGCAAGTGTTCAGTGTATATGGAAGTGGAGAAACTGAACTTTTCCAGAGAATTTTTAGAGAAAGAGATGTTTTATACATGGAACATGACAAGACGTGCAGCATTCTATTTTGCTGGAAATAACTCATTATGTATAAATAATATATGGGGAAACAAATTCTTAAAGGATCTCTGTTACTAAATGGGATTTGCAATTTCATCATACGTATGCATATCATCTGACTATAACCTATTTGGATTCCAAAGAGATCTAGTTCACCAATTATTTTAACTCTTTCCCAAGTTACAAAACTCAATTATATGAATGCAATAATACCTCATGATAAAAGTACCATGCAAATGCAGAAGCATGACTCATTATGAAAGTAATACCTGTGGTGAGAGAAGGGGAAGCTTCACTAGACCTAACAAACGGGCCATATCCTTTGTTCGTGTTTCAAGGTCATGCTTTAACCATACTACCAGTGCCTGAAATTTAATGTAAAATAAATATATGAGTAAATAAGTAAATAAATAAATAAATAAATAAATAAATAAATAAATAAATAAATCATCATCTTTCAACAAAGACTACTAACCCAAAAGGGTTCTTTCAGGTATACAGAAGTAAGATTAGGGACAAGATTGGCCCACTTAAGAGTAACTCTGGTCAGATCACTAACAGTGATAAGGATACGTGTGAAATTCTCAATACCTACTTCCTCTCAGTTTTCACCCAGGAAAATACTAGCGATATTCCTGAAATGATAGATTATGTAGAACAGGATAATAAACTATGTATGATTGTGGTAACTAGTGACATGGTCCTCAGACAAATAGAGAAACTAAAACCTAACAAATCCCCAGGCCCTGATGAACTGTTTGCAAGGGTGTTAAAGGAATGTAAAGAGGAACTTAGCATACCTTTGGCTAATCTTTTTAACATATCACTACAAACTGGCATAGTGCCTGATAAGTGGAAAATGGCAAATGTAATACCTATTTACAAGGCAGGTGACAGGTCCTTGGCTTTGAACTATAGACCAATAAGCCTTACCTCCATAGTGGGAAAATTTATGGAATCAATAATTGCCGAAGCAATCTGTAGCCATCTTGACAGGCACAGACTGATTAATGAATCTCAACACGGTTTTACAAGGGGGCGGTCCTGTCTTACGAATTTACTAACTTTTTTCACTAAGGTGTTTGAGGAGGTAGATCATGGTAATGAATATGATATTGTGTATATGGGCTTCAGTAAGCTTTCAATAGAGTTCCACACCAAAGGCTATTGAGGAAACTTAAGGCACATGGAATAGGAGGAGAAATTATTTCCTGGGTAGAGGCATGGCTGACAAATAGACAGCAGAGAGTTTGCATAAATGGGGAGAAATCAGAATGGGGGCACGTCACAAGCGGTGTTCCTCAGGGGTCAGTGTTCGGCCCATTGTTGTTCACAATTTACATAAACGACATAAATGAGGGAATAAATAGCGACATAAGCAAATTTGCTGATGACAGCAAAATAGGCCGTCAATTCATTCTAATGAGGGGACACTAGTGCACTCCAGGATTTGATTTGAATCGACTTATGTTAATGATCGAGAGAAGAGGGCAGAAGGCAGTAGTTTATATATTGACAAATGCAAGTTCTAAATGTTGCGACTGTAACTACCAAGCCACATATAACTAATAATGTCGATCTAATACTACTAGATTGCGAAAATGATGTAGGAGTTCTGGTTAGCAGTAATCTAAACCAAGGACAACATTGCATTAGTGTTCGCCATAAGCTACGAATTCTTGGCTTCATATCTGGAAGTATAAAATTATAGAAGTCCTCAGGTTGTTCTTCAAAACTCTATATATCCTTGGTTAAGCCTCTTTAGATTATGCTGCCTCAGTTTTGGTCACCGTATTACAGAATGGGATATAAATGCTCTGGAAATCGACAGAGGAGGATGACAATTATGACCCCATGTATCAGAAATCTTCCTATGAGGTAGACTGAGGGCCCTGAATCTGAACTCTCGAAAGGAGTAGAATTAGGGGGGATATTGATCGAGGTGTATAAATGAAAAAAACAGGTATAAATAAAGGGGATGTTAAATAGATGCTGAAAATTTCAGCCAAGACAGACTCGCAGCAATGGTTTCAAGTTGGAAAGATTCAGATTCAGGAAGGCTATGGAAAGCATTGTTTTGGTAATAGAGTTGTGGATGAGTGGAACAAACTCCCGGAGTACAGTTATTCAAGTTTTAACCGTTGTGTAGTTTTAACAAATAGGTTAGATAAATAAGGAGTGGGTTGGAGCGAATGTGAGTTGGACCATACTAGCTAGTGCTGCTGGGTCTAGTGTCGTGCTCTTCCCTGACGGGAGGATGACCAGACTGGGTGGGTCATTGGGTAATCGGGGGGGGGAGGTCTTGGGCTAATTGGGATGATAGAGAGATAGGAGGGAGGGGGGGGGAGACATGGATTGCTCTGCATGGGTTCGGTGGCCTGTTGCAGTTATTCCTTCTTTCTTATGTTCTTATGTTCTAAACCAGCCGTATCCCACCAAAGCAAGGTGGCCCAAAAAGAAAAACAAATTTTTCTCTTTTTAAATTTAGCAATGGATACAGGAGAAGGGGTTACTAGCCCCATGCTTCCGAAATAAATAAATATACAGTGGTACCCCAAGTTTCGGCCATAATTCATTCCAGAAGGCTGTTCGAGTGCCATTACCGAACGAACTTGTTCCCATAAGGAATAATGTAAATTAGATTAGTCTGTTTCAGACCCTCAAAAATACACTTACAAAAGCACTTACAATAATACACTTACATAATTGTTCGAGTTGGGAGCTGTATAGAACTCAGGGTACCACTGTATACAGTAAAAACTCTATGGGGAAGTGGAAAAGAATCTTTCCTCTGTAAGGCATGTGTGTCGTAAGAGGCAACTAAAATGCCGGGAGCACGGGGCTAGTAACCCCTTCTCCTGTATAAATTACTAAATTTAAAAAGAAAAAACTTTCATTTTTTTTAAGTCACCCTGCCTTGGTGGAATATGGCTGGTGAATTGGGAAAAAAGGGAAAAAATTAATACGGTAGGACCCCCATATCCGCAAGGGATACATTCACAGGACCTGCCATGGATACCAAAACCGTGGATAGTAGCAAACCTTATATATAAGTCCAATACATACCTATTATAAAGTTTGATAAATTATGCACAGTAAGTGGAGAATTATCACTTTTTTACTGATGAGAAGCACTTCAAGGCTTCTCTTAGGCTTTGAAGAATTGGCAGGTTTTCTACTTTTGAGCTTTAGGGCCATTATTATGCAAAATTAAGAGGCATTTCTGGGCAACAGTAAACCATGGATAACTGAAACCACGGATACAGGATCAGTGGATATGGGGGGTTCTACTGTACATATATACATACATACATACACACACACACACACACACACACATGCGCACAACACACACACACACACACACAACGCAGACAGAGTATAGGCCAAGGTGGCAAAGCTGATACCTCCAAAAGAGGCGTGGAGTTAATAGATAAAGAATCACACATAAAGTGGGAGTTGTCACAGTTGCACTTGTGATGACATGTGCTCTTGGGAGATTCTGAAGCGAAGTTGCAGAGGTTGGTGGATGAATTGGTCAACCACCCCCGGGGAGTAGTGACATGTAAATGAAGAAAAATTAAAATTGAATACAGGAAAGAGTCAGGGTATGCGGATAACAAAAAATTCGGTGATGAAGATTGGATATCAGATTGGAGGGAGAGAATATGGAGGAGGTGAATGTATTCAGAAATTTTGTCTGGAGTGGACGTGTCAGCAGTTGGGTCTATGAAAGATGAGGTGAATATAGAATTGATGAGGGGAAAAGGAGTGATCGGTGCACTTAGGAGTTGTGGAGACAAGAACTTTGTCCTTGGAGGAAAAGAGGGGATGTTGAGAGTAAAGTTTTACCAACGCTCTTATTATGGGGTGTGAAGCCTGGGTGATGAATGTAGCAAGCGAGGAGAGGCTGAGGCAAGTGGAGGATGTCAGTCTGAGGCAATGATGTGGTGTGAATATAATGCAGAGAAGTCATAGTTTGGAAGTTAGGAGGGGGTGCGGTTACCAAAAATGTTGTCCAGTGGGATGAGGAAGGGTTGTGGTGAGATGGTTGGACATGCAGAGAGAATGGAGCGAAACAGAATGAACTTCAAGAGTGTATCAGTCTGTAGTGAATGAAGGCAGGGTAGGGGATCAGCCTAGGAACGGTTGGAGGGAGGGGGTAAAGGAGGTTGTGTGTGCTGGGGCTTGGCTTGCAGGGGCATGCGTGGCGTGTTTGATGGAGTGATGGAGACAATGGGTTTTAATGTTTGACGTGCTGTTGGAGTGTGAGCAAAGGAACATTATGAAGGGATTCGGGAAAACCGGCTGGCCAGAGTTGGAGTCTGGAGATGGGACGTCCAGTGCCTGCACTCGGAAGGAGGGGGTGTTAATGTTGCGTTTAAAAAACCCTTCTGGAAAAGGGACACTGATGGATGTGATGATGGTTTGAAAGTTTTTCTTTTTGGGGGCCCCCCCCCCACCCTACCATGGTGGGAATCGGCAGTGTGTGTAATAAAAATAATATAACACTGAGCACGTTCTAGGTAGTAGGTTGGTAGACACAACTCAGGAGGTACTCCCGTCCTGCATAGTGGAGTGTGAAACGAAAGCCTGTAATTGTTTTACAAGTGTGGATTGTTGGTGTCCTTTTTCTGTCTTCATAAAAATTGCATGATGTCAGGTACATCTTGCTACTTCTATTTAACTTGGGTCACATTAACATATGTACATGTTTTTTTTTTTTTTTTTCACAGGTCGGCCATCTCCCACGAGCAGGGTGACCCAAAAAGAAAGAAAATCCCAAAAAGAAAATACTTTCATCATCATCACCACTTTTCACCACATCACACTTTATCGCTGTTTTTGCAGAGGGCGCTCAGAATACAACCGTTTAGAAGCATACACATATAACAGATACACACATATCCCCCAAAAACTGCCAATATCCCAAACCCCTCCTTTAAAGTGCAGGCATTGTACTTCATTTCAGGATCAAGTCTGACTATTGAAATAACTGGTTTCCTGAATTCCTTCACTTTAAATATTCCTGCCATCACACTCCAATGGTCGTCAGGTCCCAGTACCATTAGTCTCCATTCACTCTATCTAAACACGCTCACGCACGTTGGGAAGTCCAACCCCTTTGCCCACAAAACCTCTTTATCCCCTTCTCTCCAACCCTTTCGAGGACGACCCTATGCCCGCCTTCCTTCCCTATAGATTTATATGCTTTCCATATGGTCATTCTACTTGATCATTCTTCTAAATGACCAAACCACTCAACAACCCCTCTTTGCCCTCTGACTAATACTTTTATTAATCCACATTTTCCTAAATTTCACATCTGATTTTCTGCATATCACACACAACACATTGCCCTTAAACAGA